GCTTCCCTTCCCTTATGTTCATCTGTTTTGTATCCTAAAGTCCTCATATGAGTGAAGTCATATGATTTTTGTCTTTCTCTAATTTCACTTAGCATAATACCCTCTAGTTCCATCCACATAGTTGTGAATGGCAAGATTTCATTCTTTTTGATTGCCAAGTAATACTCCATTGTGTGTGTGTGTGTGTGTGTGTGTGTGTGTGTGTGTGTGTGTCACACACACACACACATACACACACCACATCTTCTTTATCCATTCATGCATCGATGGACATTTGGGCTCTTTCCCTACTTTGGCTATTGTTGATAGTGCTTCTGTAAACACTGGGGTGCATGTGTCCCTTCGAAACAGCACACCTGTATCCATTTAATAAATACCTAGTAGTGCAACTGCTGGGTTGTAGGGTAGGTCTATTTTTAATTTTTTGAGGAACTTCCATACTGTTTTCCAGAGTGGCTGCACCACTTTGCCGTCGGAGGTGTGGTCTGTTTAACGTCAGAGAGGTGGACGCGGGTCCCAGGAAGGAAGGCTTCCCACCAATTCCAGGGCCCAACAGTAACACTCCCTCTGCCTTTAGAAGTATCAGGAATGTGGCTGGTGAACATCAGTAACATCTTTAACAAGACTTCACCATTTCTTCAAGGCCAGGAGTCCATGTTATGTTATGTAACTCAAAAAGAGCTTCAGATCTCACTCATATGTGGGGCATCTGATGGATCAGATGCCATGCCAAGGGCTTGAGACCAAAGGGTTCACTCAATCTCCTCCCCTCCTCCTGGAGCAAATGGCACTATGGAGGAACCAGCTTAGCTGCCCTTGTGGACACTGCCTTCCCCTCAAAACCAGCATGTCAGGTGCCTGGGTGGCTCAGTTGCTTGAGCGTCCGACTTCAGCTCAGGTCATGATCTCACAGTTCGTGAGTTCGAGCCCCAAGTCAGGCTCTGTGCTGACAGCTCGGAGCCTGGAGCCTGCTTCAGATTCTGTGTCTCCCTCTCTCTCTGCCCCTCCCCTGCTCACTCGGTCTCTCTCTCTCTCTCTCTCTCTCTCTCTCTCTCTCTCTCTCAGAAATAAGCATTAAAAAAAACCAAAAAACAAAAAAACAGTATGTCAAAGCTCTCCTGCCAATGAATCTCAATGTCCAACTTCTCTATTCCTACCAGAGGCAATGCCAGATTCCTGGCCACTCCGATTCAAAGCTGTGACCCTATCTTTGCTTTTACTTATCTATATCCAGAAACCCAAACCGAGGAAGCTATTCCTCAAGATGTCCCCTTATCTCCATTATTCAGTTTCCCCTGCAACTTGCGACCAGGTGTCACCACCTCACAGCTTTGCTACTGTGCGAGCACGCCTACCTCCAAACCATCAAAAAGGAAGTCCAGAGATCTGTGATCAGCAACCTGGGGCACAGCTGAAAAAAATTAGATTCCGTGGGGGTAGGGGGCAGAAAAAGAGAGAGCAGGCTGAGCCAAGGTGGACAGCAATCCAGAGAGGGAAGATTCCATGACTACAACAAGAGGCATCCCTGGAGAACCCACAAGGAGATGGGGGACCCTGGGCCTCCCCCATAGGCCAGAAGGAGATCTATAAAGAGAGACAGACTTTCTGTGTTAGAGCGATGAAAGGCCATGCTGTACAAGCTGAATCATTTCACCCCAATTTATTGGACTTCAGATGTATGAAGAGAAAAAACTCCATACTGTGTGAGAAGTCAAGAGATGGGCATCTTCTCCCTACCTCTGACTGCAGAGTTTAAAGATGGGCTTTTGTAAATAAAATGAAACACTTTATTGAAAACACTTTCTTTTCTTTCTTTTTAAAAAGTAATTATTTGGCTGCAAATGCATAATTTTCTCCTCTGGCTATGAGTCTCAAATATCTGCAAATATGCATTGCATAATGACCCTCTGGCAGGCTGCAAAATCACATCTTGTTGCCTTTCATGGAAGGAAAACGAACAATTATGAAAACAGAAGGACAAGGTTTCTCTAACCCAAGATTTCATTTATCAGCTCCATTCCTGTTTAAGGCCAAAACAATACAAACTCAAGGTAAACCTTCTAGGTTCTGAGAAATCAGACTTAGTCAAAAGAAAGCCCTAGGACCTCTGGCTTTCCAGATTTCTTAATTTGAACTTGGAAAACCTATGTGTAAGGAGGGGACAGAGGCTTCCTTCCCCAAACCTAAAGGTCTCAGGTCTGTGCACCCATGTTTCTTGCAGATACCTTACTATCTAGACCTGGGGGTAAGGGGGATGTCAGGGGCCTCCATTACTGGTTTTGCAAATAAGAGGTGATCTCATCAGAACTACACTGAAAATCAATCTGCTGGCTGCTCCCACTGCTGACTTTCAGCCACCAGCCTGGAACTGAGCACACCCTGCAGAACAGAGCGAGTCCTTTAGCTGACATCACAGTGGGTGGATATAGGCTGCGAGTCACCCATGCTCCCCCTTCTAACAACACTGTAAGTTCCAAGGCTCAGGCTGACCATGGGCTCTATTTTCTTGTCTTCACAGTGACCGGCTCAGTGCTGAGCACAGGAGCTGGAGACTACTATGGACCCTCCTTTGAAAAATCAAAGATGGAGAAAAAACCAGCACCGATCCAGTGCCGATGCCCCATGTGGCTGGGGAGGAGGAGAACACTCCACCTCAGACAGAGGCCTCGGGGAGAGATGCCCAGGGTCATGAACACTATGTGAAAGGAGGCTGGGAAAGCATAATTCCTACAAACTTATTCTTGAAGACTTCTAATTTTAGGATTTCTCCATGTTACACAGAAATGCAAGAAGGAGGTTCCTTTCATTTGCTTTTCTTAAAAGAATGATTCCAAAGAAAAATCAGCAGCATGGTGTTGCAACACCAAAGACTGAGTCCTCCTCCCATCTACTGAGCAGAGAAATGATCACTGTTGGGCCTGTTCCCTCTTTCTCTTCCCCTCTTTTTCTTTTCCACCCCTGGGATCTCTCCTCTCACTTTTCCCCATCTCCCTGTCTTCCCTCCGTGACATTCCCTCTGTATCCTCGCTTATTTTCTCCCAACCCACCACCTAGATCTTGCCCTCGCTCTATGCCCTTCTTGCTGATGAGCTAAAAGATGGTCACTTTTCCTACTGTAAGTATGTTAGGTTTTATTTCCTTTTAGAAATAGAGCTGGCTATTGGTGTTTTATCATGACTATAAATAAAGCTATAAAGATTTATTTGTCTCTAACATGTACCAAAAGTCCATTTCTATCACAGAATCTCCTCCCATCTCCCTAGATTGTGGGGTCTTCGAGACCATCCAGGGAGCCTTGGGAAGGGAGCAGTTTCCAAATGAACATGAAGCTTGGGGAGGGTTCCCAGCATAAGGAAAAAAACAGAAAACACTGAAACAGGATATGAGATATAAATCTTCCCTCAGCCTGGCTAAATCAACCTAGTAAAGCCAGCATTTCATTCAGCATCTAAGGTCACCTACAGCAGTTTGTAAATAGATTCATTTCCATTTTCCATAGAAGACAAAACCAAAAACAAGAGAAAGAGAAAGAGAGAGAGAGAGAGAGAGAGAGAGAGGAGAAAAAATTATTAGTCTTCTGAGGGAAACCATGGCTATTTCTATTATGAAATGGGGAAAAAAATCGATCATCAATAATATGAGAAAAAGGAAAACTGAGAAGGAGACGTAAGGGTCAACCAAGGATCTGGGATGCAATGAGTCCTGCGTATCGGGGCCATCCACGGAGAAAAGGCCCTTCTCATGACACAAGGGCACCATCACCAGGACGATAGTCTGTAAGGACGATAAACTTCAAATGGAATCTGTTCTTGACACAAAGTCAAATCAGGGTTGAGTGTTCCTGAAGCACAGCAGAGTCTTTGGGAAGCAGGTAACAGGAGAGGTCAGGCCAAGGGATAAGACTCACCACCATGAGCTCGTCAATGGCGCACACCAGCCTTGAGTGGCTCGCCAGAGTGGCGGTGGCAGTGAGGACAGGGATGGGAGCCATTTAGGCTGACCACATGCTCTCCAGAGACCCCCCCCCCCCGAACATTATGTTGATCCTGTGACCTGTGCAAGTCCTCTAGTTGCCCCATGCAGGCCCTCTAGTTGCCCCTCTGCCTGACCCTGTTGCCCACTATAGTCAATTTCATCTCCTCCATGCTGCCCCACCCCACCCTCGCCCCAAAAGCTGACCACACTCCAGCCTGATCCACTTGCACCTACTCAGGACAGGATCCCTACTTACTCTTCCTCAATCCCCCCTCCAAACGGCCCCTCTCGTGGCCCCACCTGAGGATGCAGGGAGGACCACATCAGCTCAAGTAACGGGGTAGGTCTGCCTTGTTGGGGCACTTCCCGAGTGTGGGGTTCACAGCCAAGTCATGGATGGATCACGTTATCACGTGCCAAGATCCATGGGGGAAATCAGAGGATTCTCCCAACTAAGCACTCTTTTTCTCAACTACAAAATGGGGATGATGTTATTTATCTCATCACGGTCTCATTTATCTCATCACGGATTAAAGGAGATAATGCTTATAAAACACCTACTATGGTGCCTGGTCAATCTTTACTAACTGCTACTTTTATAACTGATGGTAGAGTTGAAAGGTGGTCTCAAATTCCTTCAACTACACAGAAGAATATGCACATACATATGCACAACACACAAATATGTCCTTATGTAACTGAACATAAATGAACATGAAATGAAACAGGTAAGATTGATACTATATCTCTAGCAAAATTTTTAAATTAAACATTAAAAACTAGAGGTGCCAAAAGCATCTGATTAAAGCTTGAAAGAAGAGAACATAAAATGCATTAAAACTTCATAAACTTTTTGCAATTTGAATGTATTTTAAAATCTGTAAAATAGTCATCCTCACTTCTACTGTTACAAGGCTGGAACCAAGCTAAACAGAATTTCTTTCCACAAAGGCATCTCAGAGAAAACAAAAGAAAGGTATATGATATGCAAACTGAGTAAAAGTTCGACCATAACCTTCTCTTACCTTTGACCCAATGAGTGTGTACAGCCACTGAATGGTTTCATTGTGGTTTATTACTCCATTCATCCCATCCACATACAACATAATCTGGCCCAAAGCTACAGAAGAGAAGAGAAAAAGGAGGAGACGTTATGGTTTTATATGTATATGCAATCTTCAGTGATCATAATGTCGGTTGAGATTTTCATATTTTAAGTGCACAGTGTGTTACAAACTGAATCTGAAGAGATTTCCTGAGCTCTTCTGAAATTAGCTAAATCTCATCTCAGAGAGAAAGTCTTGACCATGGCAGAGGAAGCAAGGGCTATTCCTGGTGTCTGGAAGATGCAATTAAGGTACCAAATACAGTGATTGTTGTTTCTGTGTGTCTTGATGCATAAATGCATGCTTTTATGTTTCTATATCTGTGTGCAGTCCCAGACGGGGCAGCCATACCCCCGGGACGGTGTCTGGATTGTGGCCTCCCACTGGGGCCAAGAGGAAAAATCAAGTTTTTAAAAGCAACCTGGCAGGTCTCAGGTGCTATGCAACCCTCCTGATTATCATTTTAATCCTTTAGATAAGAGATAAATACGTATTTTATTATTTGTAATTCCTTTGAAAGACTGTTCAGATTCTTTTAAATGTCAGAAAGCATGAAAAAAATAATTTTTCAGACACCAAGTCCCAAATTCTTAGTTAAGGAAAAGACAGTCACTGCATATTATCATTTTTCACCAGAAAGAAAAGATAGGCCATATTACTGCCTTGTAAAAAAAAGTATTAACTCTAATTTTTCAGTTCCCTTAATATCAAAATCACTTGGGATTCTAGATAATGAACAAGTAAGTTACATACATGACATAAATAGGCTTTCTTAAATCGCAGGTGACCTCCTAAATCCTTTCACCCATCATTAATTGGCAAAGGATTAACATTTTCAGGCAACACTTTTTTTCGTGGTCACAGGACATATCATTTTAGAAAAGTGGAAAATACGGAAGAGTCAAGTGAAAATAATTCAATAATGCCACCATAATTCAAGGATAATCATTCTTAACACACAGATATATTTTCTTTTATTCATTATACATGCACACATACACGTTTATATGTAGGTTGTAGGAAAATGGCACTGAATGAAAAGAGTAAAACATGAAATAGTGAGCATACACTAATTCCAAGCATAGAAATATATGTGTGATGTTAGAAAATACTCTCCTAGCCAACAAAAGGTCAAATAACAAAAACACACAATTGCTGTGAGAAAACGGATGCTCTTCAACATGCAAAAACTCAAATTTTCAAAAAACTGAATATATGCTTGGCACAATAAACACTACATTTGTGAAAATAACTGATTAATATTCTACTTAGTGGTGCAACACTGGAGATACTCCTGTTACAATCAGGAAAATTAAAAGATGGTGCCCACTAAGCCCCATGATTATTTAGCCCTATTACAGAATTTCAGGCAAATTTAAAAGACATGAGAATTAATGAGGGGTAGGAAGGTTGGAAATGAATATATAATACTGTCATTCTTTGCAAGAAATATAGACGTGATTAAAAATTCATCTACAGAATTTACAATGAAGAGATCACAATTAGACCACTTTATCATCTTCATGAGAAAGGTGTATGTAACATACAAAGAAAATCAAAGTTTAAGGTAAAGAAATAATAGATAAACAGCCATATGATAGTATGATAAAGGCTTAGATGATTTACTGTATACACAATTCACACAAATTTCTAAGAAAATACTAAATGCCAAGAGACAAAAGTCAAAAGCATTTCGTAAGGCAGACAACAAGCTATTCTACAATAACACACCAACATGCCCATCATCACTATACCAAAAAAATTAAAAAGATAATGAGGTAGCGTTTTCTGTTACATCGGCAGAGGTATTTTTTTTTAAAAGAAATAATTAGGTATCAAATGCTCAAGAGGTTCGACAAGTAACCTCACACATTACAGGTGGCAAAGCAAACTGACACAAATCCTGTAATAAGGCTACTCAGTGCTGTCGTTGCTTTACAATAATTTCATTTAATGCCCACTGTGTGCCAAGCTCTAAGGGGGCACTTGAAATGTTACTCCCATTTGACAGAGGGGAAAAAAACACAAGGCTCTTGAAAGTGCAGGAACTACTCTACAAACCCCATTGATACCAGGGGGGCCTGGGTGGCTCAGTCAAATGACC